AGTGCTGCCTGGTGGAAGGTTAGTTGATCTAGATTATGCGGACGATATCGTCTTGCTTTTCGACAATGTTGAGGCGGCACAGTCAACCCTGCATAGCCTATCCAGACCGGTCCCATTATTTGGTATGCACTTCGCACCTTCAAAGTGCAAATTGTTGCTGCAGGACCACCAGCCGCGTGCTAACAAGGAACTCGAGGTGGTTGATCAATTCACTTATCTTGGCAGCTGCATCAGCAATGATGGGCGCATAGAAACTGACGTGAGCTCACGTATTGCAAAGGCCAGAGCTGCCTTCTTGAACCTGCGTCATCTTTGGCGACAGAAGGGAGTTTCCCTCCGTCTGAAAGGCCGTGTATACAAGGCCACAGTGAGGGCCGTTCTGCTCTATGGTAGCGAGACTTGGCCCCTTCGGTCTGAAGATCTGAGGCGCCTTCAAGTCTTTGATCATCGTTGTCTGCGAAGCATTGCTGGTGTCGGATGGCACCAGCGTGTCCGCAACGATGATGTTCGTAGGCGAGTACTAGGTGGTGATAATCATGCTAGCTCCCTAGAACAACAGATAGCACTGAATAAGTTGCGTTGGCTCGGGCACGTGCTACGCATGCCTGGTCACCGCTTACCTAGGAGGGCCTTGTTCAGTCTACCAGGTGTAGGGTGGCGAAAGGCTCGAGGTGGACAGAAGTTGACTTGGCAGCGGGAAATGAAATCACTGACGACCAAACTGGGTGCCGTTGGTCCGTCTCGCCTTCCGGGCTGGAGTCCACGTGACTCGCCTTGTGCTTCTCCCGAGGCTTTACAGGACATGGCTTGCAACCGACACCAGTGGCGCGTCTGCTGCCGTCTCCTAATCGGCTTGCCTGTTTACAGTGTGTTTGGTGCTGAGTTATCTGCGGGGTAATGGCTGATTATGACGCAGGACAGTGAAGGTTACAAGGATGCTCTCTCGCTAATGCCGCCTTATCTTTGCACGATAGCCAGCTGTTTGTGACGGAATGTTGTCTACACAAGGTGTAGGCGCCTTGACCCTGAATGTTTGCTTAGGACATTAAGGTTTTCAGGTAAGTCCCCCTTCTCTCCCTCTCCTTATTCTTTATTTCCTAGGTCCTCATGATTGTATGGCAGCGAAGCATCAGTTCAAATGGCTGATGTACTGCTGTCGATGATGATGAGTGGCGTCCCGCATGGCTCGGTATTAGAGCCGTTGCTTTTCGCAATTTATTTCAATGACCTAACATAAGAGCTTGAAGAAATGTCGATATTGTTTGCTGGTGAACTCAAGCTCAGGAATATTGTGGATGTCCCTGAAGGCTCAGGCAATTCAGAGTGCCTTGGATAAGCTCTGGGATTGATCAACTTTGTGGTTGATGCCTATAAATAAAGCGAACTGTCCCCCGGATTGGTGCTTGATGGAAGTGAAATCTCGTTTGTCACTCAGGTTAGTCTAGGCATGGTCCACACCTCAGTGCTTCACTTTGGGGACAAATGGAAAAAGGTGCTTGTAGAGTTCCGTATGATGCAGTTTACTCGACACTACTTCGGTGTCCAAACGTCCGATATTCCTGTGAAGCTTTTCTTATCTTTTGTGCGACCCCACTTAGAATACTGCATCGACTAGTCAACCATGTCTTGTAAGGGATAAAATGGGACCGGAGCGAATTTTATGAGTGGGTACAAGATTAGTGCAGGGTGTACGAGGGCAGACGGATCCCAAACGTTTGCTTAACTTGTGTATGTACTCAATGTACTACCGGAGAATTAGAGGACACTTGATCCTCACTTACCGTAACCTAACGAGTAAGATCCATCCAGACTTAGTCCCGCCAAGATGCCTAGTCCCCGAGGCTACCCGGTGGAGCTGCAAAAACTGATTCTTAACCGAGTAAGGACAAGAACTAGCTAGTCGCGCCTGGTTAGTGGACGTTGGAACTCGTTTTCAGAGCACGTCGTTAGAGTATCCACGGTTGAGGGATTCGAGCGTCCGTTAGATGCGCTTGGGTGGCAGTACTAAACCTTCCACTTCTAATCAACTTGTATATTCAGCCTTCTGTTCGTTGTTGTCAGTTCTCATAGCTTGGTATTATTAAAGTCCTTATCGGACATCACCTGGCCTGCCATGACGAATCTGTTCAGGTCTCAGTAAGAGAGTGCATTGCTGAGCGACTAAAAATGCTAGGTAGTGAAGCTGATTCCAAAAAGCGGTGACCCACGCAATGTGGACAATTAACGGCCGATTTCTCACCTATTTTGGTCAAGGTACTCGAGAAAACCGTGAAAACGGTCTCCAGTTGCTGGAGTAGAAAGATCTAACGCCGGCACAATATGGCTTCATGAAGAGCCGTTCGTGCATCACCAACCCGCTGTTGATGCGGCAGGAATGGTTGCAAGCGTTGAGCCGAGGGGAGCCGGTAGATGTTATCTACACAGATTTCAGTAAAGCTTTCGATAAAGTGAACTATGAGATCCTCCTCCACAAGCTGAGAATGTGTGGTGTTGGTGACGCACTGCACCAGTGGATCAGTGACCTAAGTGGGAGGAAATGCCGGGTACAGGTGGATGACCACCTAAAGGACTAATACCCCTTCATTAGCGATGTACCCCAAGGCACAGTGCTAGGGCTCAATATTTTCCTGATCCACAAAAAAGTGCCTAAGCTTTTTCGGTCACCTTGTGGACGGGTTGCAAACGACTTGAAGATTTGAGGAGTTATTGATTCTCCGGACGTCCGTAACGACCTTCGGCAGGACCTCGACCGCCTATCCCAGTGGTTTGCAGAAGTTGACGTGCCGGACAATCAGGCCAAGTCCTCGTTTATGAGCCTGGGAGGGGGTGGTAATGGGCGCGTACACCCTGACAGGTCACCCACTGCACCGCATCAATTCCGTAAAGGATCTAGGCGTATTCTCACGCTGCGATATGAAGTCTTTCGACAACACGAACAGACTACGCAAACGGGCTACGCCTGCTTTGGGCACTTAGACGCAGCTTCTGCACTTGGTCTGAAGAGATTGCTACCCGTCTGCTCTCTTCCATGATAAAACTGGTGCTTGACTACGGCTCACCCGCCGTAGGTGAAGTGCAGAGTGGTACGTGTCCAGCATGCAGCTACCAGGCTCATCCCGTTTACGGGGTATGTCGTACGACGACCGATGTAAGACTAGGACTTTATACCTTGTTATGTCGTCGGTTCCGAGTTGAGCTCATAATGATACACCGGATATTGCACCTGGGCCACTTCGCTATGCTGAAGCCGCTGCTGCACGTTCGCGGATCAAGCAGCATACGCGGACACCGGTACAAACTAGTGGTACATGAGGAAATATTGGGACAGATTGCCAGAGACAATAGTCGAGGCGAAGTCGGTGTCAGAATTCAAGATTTCTTGGTGTGGACTACAGGAATAAGGAACGTATCGCACCCAGATACGATGTAGTGCAGCTGCAATATGCCGCCACCGCGAAGGAATCAGCGACCTGGCACCTCTTCTTGAGGATTCCTGCTATATCTTCGCAGATGACTTAAAGCTAGTCAGTAGAGGAAACCGGACGACATTGGCTAAGGACATAATCACTGCGGTGAATTGGTCGAGCCAATGGGATCTATCTCTGAATGCCAATAAATATCAACTATTGACCAATAATGGCAGCGGAATTGCAGTTCAGTCTCCTGCAGAATCTCTAACATTGTGGTGTACTGAGGAAGCCCGCGATCTAGGTGTCATCGTAGTGAACAATTTTAAGCCTTCAGGCACAGTGTCGCCATGCTGCCAATAGAGCGCGACAAGTTATTTCGTCTTAGAAGGGCGCTGAGTAACACTAAAGCAGAAGTATTCTTACCTCTATATAAAGCAGTGTTATGTCACATCTGGAGCATTGTGCTTAGGCCTGGGCACCGTACCTCCGGAGTGACGTCAGTTGCACAGAAGATTCAGAAACTTGCGATCAGGATGATCGAAGGTCAACGATGGAAGTTGTAGGAAGATAGTCTAAGTAGCTTGGGATTAGTTTCCTTGGAACGGCGTAGGTTGAGAGCAGATGTAATAGAGGTGTTTAAGATCATTAAGGTACTTAGTGGTATTAGTTCCATCCATCTGTTTGAGTTGGCTAGGTCAGACCATCTGTGCGGGCATCGCCTGAAGCTCAAACAACGTAGAGCTCGTTTGGACATCAGGGCAAAGTGTTTGACGAACAGAGTAGTTAACGCCTGGAATAACCTTCCATCTGATTTGTGCAGTGTGAGTCTGTAGAAACCTTCAAAACAGGCTTAGATGAGTGTTGGTTATCCTTTTTCCAGAGATTTTGTAATTGCACTGGGATATGTAGTGTATTTTGATGCTGATACACGAAATTGCAAAGATTGCTCCTGTTCTTGCTTCATTCCATTGCAGAAGCAAGAAGTCCATCCAATGTCGAAATGTCGGGGGTTGTTTCATTTACCGGCACATGAAACTGGACGCTCGTTAGGCGAAAGCCTCTATCGTCGCTTGACCTGACCTGACCTGACGCAATTTCGCTCGGGCCCGATTCACCTGCGATGGAGCAACACAGGTTTTTTATCCTCCCGCTCCTCACTTTTCTCACGTAAACCGGCCTGACAGACAGGTGGGTAGTAATTGGTTGGCCAGGGTGTGATGTGGTCTTTATAAAACAACGAGCCGGTCTATCAAGTACCGGTTCGATGATAAACAAAAGGAACATTCACTGGACAATCCTATCGTTTCGATCCAAACTGAGCTAACACTGTAAGGCATTTATACCTCCGCGGCACAGTAGTGAACATGCAATAAATGACCCAGAAGTTTATTTGGGAATGCTGTTTCGAGGTTTAAGATACGTCACGGTAGAAGATTCCATGAAACTCATAATGAAGCACTTACGAAACGACATGCAAGAAACATCTGACGCGTTCCGAAATGAAAGTAAAGAAGTCGCAACGTAAACAAACGGGAGGGCCATCACCCGCTCTACTGTTGATTCAACCTCGCACAACGATTCCGCCAATGCTCACGGAAAGCAGCAATTGAAGACGTTATAATAATCCGAAGTACTGAATCCCCCAGTGGCACTGAACCGACGCATGTATACCCGTAGCGGATGTTCCCAAGCGTTTCGATCAAGTGGTAAACTGCATAAACAAGCTATGGAAAATATGTTGGTAACAAAACTGACTTCAGCAAAGCCAAGTGCGCGGCAACAGTTTGGTAGTCAGCTTTACTGTCGTGATCATGACACCATGATATTTTCCAATAGGGAATCGGACGCTTCGTAATAACAGCAGCGAAGTTCCCAAATCGTAGTCGATAAAATGATAAAAACTAATCACTATTAAGGCTAACAACGGCCGAGATGCATTTGTACACGAAGTGCGCCAAAGTTGAGTCAACAAAGTGCACGCGACCTGACACATTTTGAAACTACGCATAGTGGGGAGAAACGAGGCTACCAAGTCACAAGAAATTAGAAATAATTGTAAAAATATGAACGATTAATGGGCTAAGGTACAAAGAGAAATCTGCATAAGATACAGCTTTCTATACGTTTACAGCTCATTAAAAGACAGCAATCAGTGGTTTTGTAAATGAACAGCCAACAAATACACCAAAGCAAGAATCGTCTTAAACATCAGCAAAAATCATAGACTAATGCTAAAAATTGAAAAATGTCAATCTGTGTAGCGGGCTGGATTCAAACAAACCCGCTCGGGACGAACGATATCAGGACATTTAGGCTAATTTAAAGAAGCGCCATTAAGATACATCTGAGCGAATAAACAAAAAGGACAATGCAGGAGCATAACCAACGTATATCGAAACTTTAAACCAGAGTTAATATTTTATGATTAAATTAGTAAAAGTACAGATAAATATTATTAATGCCATATTCGTTAACATGATTGATTCAGATTCGGCTGGGATGGGAACAAAGGAAAAATCCCTTGCGTATTCCTTTTTGAGTATTAGGTTGAACCGGGAAAAGACAAGGTTCTATGTGGTCTTGCTGGAGCTGAAACGAAACGCGCGATCCACACTGCTCATTTGTACACTACCCACCATTCCTGCACTAACCGTTCCCGCTGTGTATGTCATAAACTTAAGTAAGAGTTAGAAACAATTTAAAGATATTGTAGAAATAAGCTTAGCAAATGAAGGATAACACCTAACAGTAAGGAAAATGACAGAATGGGAATTAAAAGTTGTAAGATATATTAGATCAGTAGAAGGAAAGTTCAATTTCAGTTGGGAACGGAACGGTAACATAATGGCATGACTGTCCGACCGTTTGCTCACCGGTGGAGCACGAACGGATAGTTCTGCTTGAGATGTTGAAAAGCCTAAAACAGGGACCGCAGCACACCCTGTCCAACCAAGTACTGCCCACATTTTCCTGCGCAGCAGTCCCTGCCAGGGCAGTTTAGGTGAAGTAAAAGAGTGAAGGGTAAGCTTAGAAAATAAGAGGAGGAACGTCGGCTAAATAATGACAACACGAAGGTGCGAAAAGTAACCAAATAAACGGAGGGAACGTTTAAGCTACAAATCAGCTAGGAATTAGGGAATGTATGGTACTGCCAACCAAAAGCGTCTAACTGACGCTCGAAACCCTTAACCGTAGACTTCCTAACTTCGTGCTCCGGAGGCGGGTTCCAACCTTCAATAACGGCGCGACAAACAAGTTTCAGTCTTTACCCGGTCAGAACGCAGTTTGTGCAGCTCCAACGGATGACCTCGGAGACTATGCCGATTGGCGGGACTAAATAGCCAGGACAAGTCTGGACCGATCTTACCCGTTAAGATACGGTAGGTGAGGAGCAAGTTTCCTCTAATGTTGCGGTAGTGTTTTGACTGCATACCCAAGCGATCCAAACAGTCGGGATACGTTTTCCCCCGTAATCCTTGCACTAACTTCGTACCTACTTGCAAAACCAGCTCCAGTTCCACTTTGTCCCTTACAAGACAATGTGAACAAGCCTGGATCCAATATTGTAAGTGTGGTCGCACAACAGATGAGAACAACTTCCTAAAAATATCGGCCGTTAGGACACTGAAGGAGCGGCGAATATACCACACCATACGGTACCCTCTACAAGCAGCCTTCCTCCACCTGTCCCCAGAGTGAAGCAATTAGGTTTGTGTGATACCTAGATCCACATGCTGTTTGACAACCGGGGGTTCCCTTCCAGCAAATAAATAGCGAGTGGGAGGACTAGCCCCTCTCATGCGGGGACAAAACCTTTCGCATGATTAATAGGCATCAACCATAAGGTTGCTCAATCCCAGAGCCTACCCAAGGGACTCTGAAGTGCTTCAGAGTCCCCAGGGATATCCAAAATATTCCAGAGCTTAAGTTCAGCAATAAACAATAGCGACGGTACTTTAAGCTCGTGGAGTAGCTCGTTGACACACATTGCGAAAAGTAACGGCCCTAGAACGCGGCCCTACTGAACGCCACTACGAAAAGCTTGGCTATGCCAGAGGCTACGCCCCACGGGTACAAAATCTTATCCCCCTCTGCGTACACAGAGACCCATTTAAGGACAGCTCCAGATATCCCGTACGATCACAACCT